AAATATAATGAAAAAAATGAATAAATAAAAACAAGCTTAAAGAAATAACAGGTAAAATATTCTCTTATTTTTTGGTAAATTACCTGTTACAGGATTGCTACAGGTCTCTTCAGATTAGGAGATGTCATCCACTTTAAACATTATACCTGTCATCACATAGTCTTTACACTTTCCTTGGAAGCAACTGTCACTGCTTTTGCCTTAGATCAGATGCTACATCTTGCAGATAAATAGCCACATCTACAGGGTTTTATTCAGGTAAGTTACTGATAAGGGCTACTCAGATGAATTAACAGCACTGTTTTTAAAAACCTCTTTTTCAGTTATGCTTCCACATTCACGGTATACCATGATCCAGAGTTAAAATGTGCTGGGTTAGCAGTATGTTATTTGCACTTCTCTGCTGAAAAAGAGCCATTCAGATGTAGAACTGGATACGATCAGATTTGCACCAAATTTGGTGAATGATCTAATGTCCTGGAGAGCACACTACCAAACACGCACCCTAGCTCTTAGCCCCTGGCAGTTGCAGGGTAGGGAAACCTACTGCTGGGGAATGACAGACATGCCATCCTGCTTTGATTCTGCAAATCCTTATCAAGACAGTGCATCTAGAGCCATGCTTGTTTTTGAACCCCCTGCTGCTGATTTCTCTGCATTTGCTTCCAGAGCCTCCTAACTCTTACCAGCTGGCAGGTATAAATCCCTTCCAAGTGATGAGCTGGTTTGTTTCTGTGTAAAGAGCACTGATTGAGATCTTCCTCACAAGCGCCTCTACACACACAGCTTGTGATCAGAGTCTACCTACAGGCTTTTCAGAGTCCAGGTGAAGGGGAGAGATCAAAAGCAAGATTTGCCATTGGGGAATGTAAGTTCTTAATGCATAAATGCTCACGTTCACATGAAGAATACCTGTTTATTGGTAAGAATTCAGAAAAAAATATTGCATGTTCCCTTAAAGCTTACCAGCACACATGCACCATGCAGTCCATAATTAAGTAACTGAATCATTCTGAATGCAGATTTCTTACATATAGGCATGTTATGCCAGTATGATGCAAATATGTGAGAAATGCAACCTTGAACAGTCTCTGTTCTGCTCACAGCTTGCCTCAACACTCCTTCTCTTTACTGCGGAACCAAGTTATGGAGACGAAGGTCAGCAAGAGACTTGTTTCCTTCTCCAAAAGCTTGAGGATGTGGCCTGAAATCCAGAGAAGTGGATTTCCCATTCCCATTTCACTGCTGTCTGAAATCTGAGCTCCTTTCTTTATCTGAATAAGTGGCACTGGACTGAAAACTAGAGAAGCACAAATCCCATTTCACAGGACCCTGAGGCTGGGCTTCATGTTACAGATGTGACATGCTCCTTTGCTTGTTCAGAGAAGCTGGGGAGCGTATAGGGGAAAAGGGGATCCGTAAGCACTGTGAAAGAGCCTCTGTGAAGATAAAAGTCTCAGCAACCATTTCCTTCAGGAAAATATTTCATTGCTCTTCAACAATGCAAACTGATGGCTTTTTATGAAATGGATGCCTCTCTTTTTTCTTTAAACTCTGAAACTTTAAGATTCCTAAAGATACTGTGAGAGTTTTCTCTCTCTTGGAAAATTCTGGTGGTCTTTTTGGCCAAGAAAAAAAGACTTCTGCAGAGCAGAAGTCATGGGCAGGTGCAACCTACTGATTTCAAAGCCAGGGCTGTGAGGGCTGGCAACCTGTGAAGGAAGCCACAGCGCAAACCTACCCTCCTGAGCCACCAGCACTGATAATGGACGGTTTCGGCAACAGGCTGCAACTTATTCTCTGAAGTCTACAGAAAGGCTTGAGAGAGTTCTCTGCAGGGAACACAGATGTGAGAACTTTAATGTGCTGCACATTGGGGAAATCAGAAAAAAAAAAAAAAAAGCCAGAGCTGGAATGCGTTACTACCACAGGAAATGAATTCAAATCAAACACTGCAAATAAAACAACCAGGAAAAGTGAACTACAACTTGCCTTTTGTGGCAGACAGTCTAATGGCTGGGACTGAAGTTCAGTGATCTGCCCCACAGTTTCTAGCTACACACGACTTTTGGGTTGATCAGATGGATGGTACGATCTCTTAATGATGAATGAAAAGCAAACTTGAGCAGCAGAAGAAAACTGAGGACTATATTAGCACACTAACAAGAATTTTCTCATTGAAATAAAATTATACCTGTTGCATACATTACTACAATTACTTTATATGAACTAGCTGATTGCATTATGTTTTAAGTCTTCTCTGCAGACAATGAATGGATTCCATGAACACGTATTTGCTACCTTCTAGTTAGCTAAGAATCATTCAATTTGCCCTAGGAAAACAACAATTAACACAAAACACAACAGGTTATCTCCAGCTACCAGAAGGTTATCATGCTTATCCACTGCTCACTAAGTTGATTCTCTCCTGAATATTGCACTTTTTTTTTTTTTTTTTTTTTAGGATTCAAGCCTTTTCTTCACAATGTTTAGGCATCCAGGACATCCAAAAAATCACCTCTCATTCCAGCATGTTAATCCTAGTCTTAAACCCTAAAGAAAAGATCATAACCAGGACAAAACTAATTCATGTAGGAGCTTGAGCTTCCGCAGAGACTAATTCAAGTAAGAGGAACTAAGACCTGTTTACTTTTGAAGGTTAATTCCAATTGACCTAAGATCTGAATTGGTAGCGAAATCCCCAAAGTTCATTTCACCTCAGTTTGGTCAATGGTGCTATTTACCCAGGTTCCCTCTATAGTCAGTAGCAAGAGATTATCTTCAGAGAGCGATGTAGGTCGCAGGTGGCCTGGGTCATCTTCGAGAGAAGATTCCCTTAAAAGCATCACATGCCACTTTGATAATCTTGTTGGCGAGCTCACCTGCCCCTCAGTGGCTTTAAGTAAGTGGGGTGAAAGGGTGCATGTGGGCAAATGCACCTCAGGTCATACAGCAAGACAGGCGACAACAGACATGACACAATTACAGCAGCTGTAGAGAACCAGGCATCTATTTGGATTTTTTTACTTGCTTCTAAACTAGCTGGAATTGCAAGTTTATAGATGATCATGCCTATGTGCTTCTGTATTACAAATCTTATACTGAGGTGGTTCTTTCAGTAAATTTCAAGTAGTTTTCTAAGAAAGCCCCCTATTACTCTGCTGTTGTCCTGTATATCCACTGCTCATCTTTCCAGGTCTGCAGCATACTCTACTCTTACCAGATCTGGGATAACCCTGCACAGTTGAATGTATCCTTTGGAAAAAATGCCCTTGGCCACTGTGAATGCAATGCTCTACAGTGATGTAAAAGCCAGGAGTGTGTCTGACTATGCTTGTTACACTCCAGTCAGCATAAAGCAAGTGAAATGGACTCTTCCCTTTGAAGTTGATCATTTACATGGAAAAGACCGTTCAAACATGAAATTATCCTGGATCATTTTTCTAGGATACTTCACGCAATATATAAACTTCTAAGTTCTTCAGAAATTGTGGCACTCCCCCTCTTCAATGAAAGATGATTTCTGTCCTATTTTTACCAACAAAAAATATATAGCAGAACACAGGTGAAACATAGGAATTAGAAAGAAGTCTGTGCACACAAAAGTTTTCCTTCTGGCAGAAGGAAACAGACTGGAGAACAAGCAAACTATCTGTGACTGGCCAGGCACATCATGTAAGTCATCTCTGTAGGATGACAGCCATAAGAGTAGCACAAACATTTTTATTCACTAAATTCATCTACAAATTACTAAGCTCCATTAGGGAGAATATTAGATATTACAAGAAGTAAAGGAGGGGATAGTGTAAAAAGAAAGAGGTAGCTCATCAAAAGGGACACTGGGAAGCACTTGCCCCTTCACGATTTCTGGCCCCTTAGAGCTTTCTGCTACTATATCCTATTCTCTTTCCATAAGCAAGTCCTCATTATGTCCTTATTACGGCAGACTAGAAAGTATTGTAAGACTAGAAAGTAAAAACTGAGCCTGCAGGAAGAAAACATGCTGTTCACAC